TGAGAAGAGGTTTGTAGGGAAACACACATACGCGGCTGTCCACCGTCTCGTTTTTTTACCAGTCACATCCTTCCCCCACTACCGATCTTTCCCACTGTCTGGCTAAACCAGTGTTTTCTAAAGTGTGGTCCAGGGGCCCTGGGGCCAAGATTTAATACAAATAATGTTTCTTAGCTGCTTCACCAGGAATATTCTTGAGTGATAAACTACAAATATATAGCCTTGAGGAACATATTGACCTGCGAGTACGCTTTGGGTTCCACTGCCTTCATCTGTGCTTGGACACCAGCAGCAATACCTGCCAATGCTTTTGCACCATTATTGGAAATGTCAACACAGTGGAAAAAAGTCAAATAATGAGTTAGTATTATTATGAGAGTAGTTTTGAGGTCACAGACCCCTCTTCCCCCCAAAAAAACATCTTGGGGGGCCCCCAGGGGTCTATAGGCTGCACTTTGAAAACCACAGTCTAGCCAAACAGTGACAGAGGCCATGACAAGGGAGAAGGTGTGGTTGGTGACCAATAAGTTGGTGACCGGTTGATAAACAGGTCATGTGACCTTCAGGGATTCTCTGAAGTAAACTATAAATTGAAGGCTTTCTTTTTAAACTTTTCTTATTAGGTTGGCTGTTTCTTGACTCCAGCACCTCAATGTTTATAAATGCTCGAGCAAGGGTTTATCATGTTCCAGATGCCAAAATGAGTAAAAAAGGCAAACTGCCTGAAAAACTGGAGATTAAAGAAGAGCAAGGTATCTTGTATGCTTAAGTCTTCAAACGTGTCTTTTATTTAAGTATTTGGTGTGGAAATGCTTATCAAGTTACAATATAACTTTAAATCTCCTTCAGCTGTGTGAAGAATGTGTAACTGCGTGTTAATTATATGTTATATGTAACATATATAATGTATGGTAAAAGTATTTGGTATGGATTCATTGCCAGGGGATTCCAAATAACAAATGCCAAATATCAATCAAGAGTATTCTTGCTAGGACTTCCCTGGTGGTCCAGTGGTAAAGAATCCACCTTCCAGTGCAGGGGACGCGGGTTCAGTCCCTGGTCAGGGAACTAAGATTCCCACGTGCCACGGGGCAGCTGATCCTGTGTGCCACAACTGAGTTCGCACGCCTCAACTAACGAGCCTGTGTGCCACCAACTACAGAGTCCATGCACTCTGGAGCCCGTGTGCCACAACTAGAGAGAACCCCGCGCACCACAGTGAAGAGCCCACGTGCTGCAACGTAAGATCCTGCACAAGAATTATAGATTTTTTTTTTTAACTTCGGAATAATTACTATTTGGGCACTTGAAGTCTTAGTGGGACATTTTAACATCCCTTTTAGCTTTTAGGGGACATAAATACTAGAATGAGGCAAATAATGGGTTTTATTTCACACTCATCTAGTAGGTATAATACATATCGTTGGTTTTTTAAAGCATGGGGTAGGGTTAATGTTTACTTTCTGCCTAGTTCAAAGGTCTATTTCAAAACTTAATTAAATACATTAGTAATACGTTTGAGTACTTACAGAAATAAAAGTTTTATTGTTGTCTGCTTATATCCCATGTTCAGGATTGTGAAAATCTTGGGGATTTTAGAAATAATAAATACTTTTATTTTAGAAATAAGAAATACCAAGTCCCTTATTTTGTGTAGCAGTTTATATATAATGTCACAGTTGACAACTAACACATAATCATGTCTTATTAGTGACCACTCACATCACTTTCTCTCAAGGCATTATGGAACCTGTGTTAATGCTGGTTTGAAGTGTCTTCATTTAGACCATAAGGAGACCTTTCTCAAAGAAGCAGATTCTATCTATAGAGTATTATGAAGGAAGCTCAAAGGAGTGGGTTTATGGAATGATGCCTGTGTTATCTGTTGTCTTAAAAGCCTTTGGAATACTTTATAGATAAATATTATCACATAGAATGAGGTGGTCTTTTATTTCTATACAGAAACAAGAAAGGAACTGGTCCTAGAAAACAACCCAAAATGGGAGGCACTCTCGGAAGTATTGAAAGAAATTGAGGCAGAGAATAAGGAGAGTGAAGCCCTTGGTGGTCCAGGTAGGAAAAAAGGAGCTGATGATATTTGTGTTCAAAATCTAGCAAATGAGTCTTTTTGATTAGCTCTTTACAAATAATTTATACTATCATCTTCTTTATCAAATGTGGAAGAGAAAGTGCCACATGAACACTGAAATCTTAGTGACAAGAGCCTCTCTGTTCAGTTGATGTCATTTTCTCCAGGTTGAATCACTGTATATTCATGAAAGCAGGTTGTTTTACTGGTTGGGTTCTCAGGACTTCTATTTAAAGATACAACTAATCAACTATCTTATATAGAATGGATAAAAACAACAAGGTCCTGCTGTATAGCACAGGGAACTATATTCAATATCCTGTGATAAACCGTAATGGAAAAGAATATAAAAAAGAATGTGTGTGTGTGTGTGTGTGTGTGTGTGTGTGTGTGTGTGTAACTGAATCACTTTGCTGTACAGCAGAAATTCACAGAACATTGTAAATCAGCTATACTTCAATTAAAAACAAAAAAAGATGCAGCAAAATCTCTACATATATATTCACCAGGCTTTAAATTTGGAATCCAAAAGGAGAAAGCTAATGGGCTTAAGTTTTAGGTTCTCAGCAAGTGTCTTTTCAAAGAAGCCTCAACTGTATTATGGAATGACACTGACCTAGTGCTAAAAAAATTTCAAGTTTTGGGGCTACTCACTTCAAACACAAGTATACTAGTAGACTGAACCTGAACTGTAGACTGAACCTGAGTTAAGTTTTAAAAATAAAACCAGATAGAAAATAAAACTAAATTTTAAAAAGTATCTATTGAGAGGAGTATGTGGCACATAGACACAATGGAGTGTCGCTCAGCCACGGGAGGAGACGAAGTTGAGCTGTTTGTGGTGGGTGGACGGCCCTGGAGTCTATCATGCAGGGTGAAGTGGGTCGGAGAGAGAGGAGCAGGTGCCATGTGCTGGCGCATGTGTGTGGAATATAGAAAAAAGAAAGAAAAAGGGGCGGTTCTGAGGAACCTAGGGACAGGACAGGAGTGGAGATGCAGACGTGAAGAGTGGACTTGGGGACACGGGGAGGGGGAGGCGTGGGCTGGGACGAGGTGAGAGAGAGCCATGGACATGTATACACACTACCAAGTGTAGGATGGACAGCTGGAGGGAGGGGTGGGATGGGGAGGGTGGGGGGGAGGCACAGGAGGGAGGGGATGTGGGGATGTGTGTGTGTGTGGCTCTTTATTGTGGAGCAGAAACACACCATTGTGGGTGTGTCAGGGGGGGGGGGGGGGGAGGCACAGGAGGGAGGGGATGTGGGGATGTGTGTGTGTGTGGCTCTTTATTGTGGAGCAGAAACACACCATTGTGGGTGTGTCAGTGAAGATGTTAAAAAAACAGTGAAGATGTTAAAAAAGATGTTAAAAAAAAAATCTATTGAGACTTTGAACTCCTTTAAAGCAATAAAGGCAAGCACATAATCCTTATATGAGTAATTATGCTGTGATATTATCCCAGAACTTATGGTGCTGTGATTTAAGACCCAAAGTCATACATGTGTACTTAGAAAAAAAGCATAATAAAGAAGGGGAAAAAATTACATCTAGCAGCCACTGTTAACATTGGCATATTTCCTTCCTGGTTTTCTTTCATGTATTTTCTGTTTCACATTGTTAAAGTTATAGTGTAGATATAATTTCTCGATATAGAATTAATGAGCCAAGTGATACTGACATTTTTAAAGTTCTCAAGACATATTACCCCATTGATTTATAGAAAGTTTTTATCAATTTTCATTTCTTTTGGAAGTATAAGAGCTTATCTTTTTTTACCCAGCTGGCAATGACTGGAGATTCTGTATATATTTGTGTGTGTATCTACATATATTACATATGTATAACAATTTTATTCATTTGATTGGAGAGAAATGTGATCTTGTTTCAAATTTTGATGCTTGGGGAGCTCAGTTCTTTCTCAGATGCATTTCTTCTTTTGTGAATTGTCTTAGTTTCCTTTGCTGGTTTAGAGTGTGTCCTCAGTTTGTATCAACTTTTTATATATTAAAGATATTAATATTTATCATAGTTACATAAAGTTATTTTTTTGTCTTTAGCTTTTTTTTTTTTTAGGCAAGAAGTGGATTTATTTAGAGATGCACATTCCATAGACAAAATGTGGTCCATCTCAAAAGGCTTGGGAGCAGCCTGTCTTTAGCTTTTTTTAATGCAGTTTTTTATTCTCATAGAGTCAGTCAATTGCTTGATCAGTTGATATCTTCTCACAGATATCAGTATTCTCTGAGATTTCTTCCATTGCTTGTAAGCCTGGAAAATCATCTTCATATGGAGAGGTGGAGAATAGTCATCTTTTTTTTCATGATGTATCATTTAACATTTGACTGTAATCCATTTGGAATTTATTTTGGTATTTCCAGATCTATTTCCAGATCCTCTGGAAAATTATTAATTAAAAAGAGCTTCTTTAAAGCCTCCATTATACGACAGCTATACTTTCGTAAGACTCTAAATATTTCTGGCTTCACCTTTACCCGGAAGATTTAAGTAATCCTGCCAGGGAGGAGAAAGCCTTTGATGAGCATCCGAGACCCTTTTTAAACAAATTGTAAAGTATCTTTAGCGCCAAGGGGTGAGCTGTGTCTCTGGGGGGGAAGGGACGAGGGGGCGCGTGGGGTAGGGCGACAAGTGAGGTAATCAGGACATAATGCTGTTTCTAATTTTAGGACACGTTCTCATTTGCGCAAGTGATGACAGGACCTGTTCCCAGCTGCGAGAGTACATCGCTGTCGGAGCAGAGGCCTTCTTGTTGAGGCTCTACAGGAAAACCTTTGAGAAGGACAGCAAAGCCGAAGACGTGTGGATGAGGTTTAGGAAGGAGGATGGCTCAAAGAGAATTATGAAATCCAACAGAAAGCCCAAAGGCCTCCGAAACAAAGACAGGGCTTCTGCCAAAGAGAGGGCTTTCAAAAAGAAGAAACCAAGGCTGACTTTAACTCAGATGATGGAACAGTCTGAAGAACTGGAGGAGGAGGGGTGTGTGGAGGAGCGATGCCCGAGAGACCTAAGCAGTAGCCCCGAAAGCTGCTTAGAAGAAATTAAGCACGAGGAGTTTGATTTAAACGTGTCCTCTGATGCCGCGTACGGAATCATGAAAGACCCCCTCACCATTATCCACCCACTCCTGGGCTGCAGCGACCCCTACGCTCTGACACGGGTGCTCCACGAGGTGGAGCCAAGATACGTGGTCCTGTACGACGCAGAGCTGACCTTCGTGCGTCAGCTTGAAATTTACAGGGCAAGTCGGCCTGGGAAGCCCCTGAGGCAAGTTGTAAGGAATATGAACTACGATCTCATGGGCTTCAGTTTTGCAGTTCTTTAGGATTTAGCACAGATAGACCAGTTGCCCACGGGCTTTCTTATCTTTAACGTTACATTGTTATGATGTTGGTTGAGTTTATGAAACCTTATTTGGCATTCTGATCAGTCTGGGAAGTACGCATGGGAAGGAGGTCGAATGTTGTAGTGGATCCAGGAATCGGAGGGAATGCCCCCTTCCTTGTTACTTGCTCTTCTGCTGTTCTGTGCCATATTCTGTATGCATTGGTTGTAGCCTATGGGGCACCGTCTCTGAACAAGCCTAGGAAATTTACAATATCCTAACTTCTACCAAATGTTAATGTAATTATGACTCAGCTAAATTTCATAATTTTAAAACGTCTTTCTTGTAAATCCGAAAAAGTGACTCTAAGTTACAGCCACATAAAGAATTTGGGGAATTATTGTACCATGTATTCTTGAGTTTCAAGAAATATCAGATGAGAAAATGATGCCTCCCAAAGAATATAGTGTTCTGGCTCTCCAATTATCTGAGGGAAATAAACCTCAAAGTTAATATCCTGAACTCAACCTGAACCAAAGGCAGAGCCAAAAGAGACCTTTCTAGCCAGTTTAACGAAAGCAACCTTTCAGAGTAGAGGTGAATGGAGGAGGTGGACCAGAAATAACGCAGGATGAAGAGATGAGGCAAAGCTGGTGAAATAATTATAGGCTGATAAATTTTTCATACTTTGCTGTTAATCAACATTGGAGATAGCTTGTGTGCACAAAAGTTCTCTGTTGCCTGAATATAGAATAGTGTGATATTTAGAAACAAAAGGTCAGAACCAGAAGGGACCTCAGCGTTCAACCACTTGATCCATCAGTGGGAAACTGAGGCCCAGACATGGTGAATGGCTTGCCCTTGGCCATGTGATACATTCGTGGAAGAGCTCAGGTCTCTGGACTCATTGGCCAATGGTTTTCTCCCTGCCCGCACTTCAAAGAAATATAAACTAGGAAAATGAAGACCAAAAGAAAAATCGAGGGCTAAAAAGGGGAAATGTCTCTGATAGAAGGTAAAGAAAAGGGGCAGAGGAGGTGCTTCATTCAGCTTCTTAGCAACCAACAAGATAGGAAAGCTGGCCTTTTCTAAGAGAAAAGAATATGTCAAATTATTTTTTGAGGAGCTTGATATAATCCATGTCTTCTCTGTCTGTGTGTTTATATAAAATGTGTGATGACTCGGTTCTGTTAAGACATGAATAAAAAGGAACGGAGAAATTACTTGTGAAGGTAAAGGTCATTTAGATTTCATTTGTTTATTTTTCACTAACATGAACTTTCATAAGCTGGCCTTTATAACCACCATCCAACTTTTTAAACGATTGTTTGGCAGAGATGCAAAGAAAAAAATTGAAAAAAGAGAAGCCGCTAAGATTGTGTTTTCTGATTTGTTTATAGTTATGAGGAAAGAATTATTCTATCCCTCTTTGTTATATTTCAGTGTTTACCTAAACTCTGTTCCTCCTTTTGATGAAAGAAGAAAAAAAAAAACCCATGTGGTAATGAGACCTTTAACAGGTGGGGTTTAGGCTGCTTAATTTTAGTAAGTGTGTGATTAATGGAACCTTTTCTTCTCAGTCAAATATTTATTATTTGAACACTCTAGGTTGCTGATTTCAAATGCCATGCTCTTCCTTCCAGGGATTAAAAATTATGTTTTTGCAGCCTAAAAGAGTTCTGTCTTCACTTGCAGGGTTTACTTTCTTATATACGGAGGTTCAACCGAGGAACAGCGCTATCTCACTGCTTTGCGGAACGAAAAGGAAGCTTTTGAAAAACTCATAAGGTAAATACGTAGATCAGTATGAAGGAATCAAAGGCCTTTGAAGATCCAGAGGCTTCTCTGAGTGGGGGAGTATCTACTAGCCCTCAGGAAAGATGGAGAGAGGAAGCTGCTGGGGAGGGTCACATCAAGATACACCTGTAGTCTGATTCGCTCCAGGGTTTATATACATCAATACACATTTCCTTTTCTTTTCCCCTGCTTCTCCACCGTCTCCAGGTGCTTTTCAGGGGGTTAGTAGAATAGAAATGTGGAGAAAACTGCTATTATGTTAATAAAGAAATATAACATAAAACACCAGCAATAGAACTGAAACAATCTCTCCCCCTCCCCCATGTACAAGATTTCTCCCTTCCCTTGGAATCATGATTTTTTTTTTCCCCTTGTAAAATTTCCATTGTCCATGGGTGGGTGACTGCTTTACTGTTTACTGGGAAATTTTTTTTTTTTTCTTTTTTGTGGTATGTGGGCCTCTCACTGTTGTGGCCTCTCCCATTGCGGAGCACAGGCTCCGGATACACAGGCTCAGCGGCCATGGCTCACGGGGCCCAGCCGCTCTGCGTCATGTGGGATCTTCCCGGACCGAGGCACGAACCCGTGTCCCCTGCATCGGCAGGCGGACTCTCAACCACTGCGCCACCAGGGAAGCCCAACTGGGAAATATTTTTATGACCTGGTCAGTTCAGATCAATAGAATCACTCTGGGAAAAATATTTTTTTAAAGGTGTGACATTGGTCTGAACAGATGTGTGTTTTTTGAGAATAAGTAACCTTTAATGTTCCAAATCCAAATAGAAAAAGGTTTTGGTTTAACGTAAGGAAAATGTTTCTAATTGAGATATTCACAAACTACATGGCTACCTCTTACTCCTGCAAGCACTTGAGAAATCTAATAGCCTCCCCCAAGGGATGTTATCAAGGAAATGGCAGCTTGGTGAGAGAAGATGGATCAGATGCTCTCTAAGGAGCCCCAGAAGCCAGGGCGGGGGCTGGACAGGGCATTCTTGATCCGAGCCAGAGAAAAGGCTAGACCAGAGGAGACCATGGCCTGTCCTGGCAGTGGCTGGGCCAGACCAGTCTTTCAAGCCTCAGACATTGGCAATATATCAGTGACAGCAAGAGGGCAGAAATCATTTTTAGTGGCAGTTAGCCACGACCTAGACAGAATTTCAAAATGGACGGCCATCCTTCAACACTGGCTGTGGGCTGTCAGTATATGCTTAAAATATGCAGATACCCCAGTTCATCCAGGGCATGCGTTCCCAGAAACAGGAGTGCTTATTGAATCAGTGTCATTGAGTCCCTTTGAAGAAACTCAGCACGGTTCGTGGGCAGTTCTCTTCCCTTCCTATCCTCTGTGATTGTGGCATGCCTTAGCCATGGATTCTTGCAGCTATTGGTCCTACAATTATTGGTCAGTCCTTTCAGCTTATGAAAATATTTGAATATTTTTTTCAATTTTGATTGAAGCATAGTTGATTTACAATGTTGTGTTAATTTCTGCTATATACAAAGTGATTCAGTTATACATATATGTACATTCTTTTTCATATTCTTTTCCATTATAGTTTATCACAGGATATTGAATATAGTTCCCTGTGCTATACAGTAGGACTTTGTTGTTTATCCATCGTATATATATACTAGTTTGCATCTGCTAATCCCAAATTCCCCATCCTTCCCTCCCCTAGCCCCCTCCCCTTTGTGAAGTCTGTTCTCTATGTCTGCGAATCTGTTTGCATTTCGTAGATATGTATTTTCTATTAATGTGCTCTGTGGGATGGTTTATATGTGTGTACATATGCTTTTTGAAAAAGTATTCCAGAAAGTGTTATAAAAAAACAGGTATTATGCAGACTACCTCTTCTTATCTAGAGCTTTTTAGTGCCTCTCTGTGTCTCCTAGACCTTCATCTCCCAAGACTCAAACAGTCAACAGATATTTCTTGAGCATCTATTATGAGCCAACCCCTGTGCTAATGTTAAAGTGCTGGAGTTACAGTGGTGCAGAAAAAGGCTCTGTCCTGCCTCCTAGAGCTTATCCCCTAGTGGAAAAGACAAACATTGAATGATTATGAATAATATCATAAATAGACATGGGCAGAGGGCGGCGGGCTACAAAGGTAAAAGAAAAGGGTATCCTACAAGAGTCTGTCAAAGAGATCTGACCCAGTGTGGGATGTCTGGGACGGTGTCACTGAAGGAATGACCTTTAAGCTGACCCGTGGAGCATGTGTGCTGGTTGCTAAGTGGACAAGGTGGGCAAGGGGTTTTGTTGAACAAGGGTGTATGTGAAAGCTCCGAGGTGCACAAGGCCTGTTAAGGATTTAGAACTTGACTCTGTAGCCAGTAAGATAGCACTGAAGAGTTCTAATTAGGAAAGTGACATAGAGTATTTTTTAAAGGCTTTCTCTGGCATCAAACTGAGGAATGGCTAGAGCAGGGAACTAGTCAGGAAAGCTGTTGCAATTGTCTGATAAGAACCGGTGGCAGCCAAGATTAGGTTGATGGAGAGAAGGGGACAGATTTAAGAGATATCGAGGAAATGGCATCAAAGAATTGGTGCTACTGGATGTGGGCCAGTACCTCCTAATTGCTCCTTCACTCTTTGTAAAATATCCTTTGCCTAAGTCTTCTCTGATTAAAGTAACTGTCTCTAAATCACAAATGAGCACATGGAGCTAAAATATTCAGATTAGGTTGTTGGTGTTCATGTTGAGGGTCCCCAAGACCCTCAGGCCCAGTGATTCACCAGAAGGACCCACAGGAGTCAGAAAAACTGGTATTCTTGCAGTTATGGTTTATTACAGGGAAAAGGACACAGAGTAAAATCAGCAAAAGGAAAGAACACACGGGGCCAAGTCCAGGAAAATCCAGCATAAGCTGCTGAGTGTCCTCTCCCAGTGAAGTCGCAGGAACGCGCTTAATTCTCCCAGTGGCAGTGTGTGACAGCACACGCTCAGTGTCGTCCACAGGAAAGCTTACCCGAGACTTGCGGTCCAGCGTTTTTATTGGGAGTCAGTCATATAGACATAGTACTCAAGTGACAGACTCCAGCTCCCTGGAGCAAAAACAGGTATTCACTAGAAATCACACTGTTGGCATAAACCATCTGATCACACTGGTGCCGTGTGGCTCCAGGCATATAAAAACCCTCTTATCAGGCATTGTATTCCAAGAGCTCAGACCTCAACTCCCAGAAGCTGGCCAAGGGCTTCTGGGAAGACAAGCTGAGGAGACAGGCCTTTCTTGGGAATGTGCAGGGTTTGAGCAGCCCAGGCCTGCTCCCTTAACCGTTTCCTGCACAGTGTTGTAGCCAAGGGGGGCCTGGTAGGCTCTGAGTAGGTGAGTTTTATGCTCCAGGCCTCCTTCCTGTGACTGCCTCTTCTCCAGTGCATCAGAACCTGGCCTAGAAAAAGAGTGCCGTCAGTGGATTGTAGCCAGGTATCGGGGACCACATGCCATTCCTGGCTTATACAAGTGATTTTACACTCGAAGGGCTCAGTGACAAGGCTCGGGTAAGCCTGGCACATACTGGAAACTTCACTCTGCAGAACCAAGGATACAAACTTTCTCCTATGTTTCAATCTCTACAGTAATTTCCATACCAGGTTTTGATGTCATTTTATCTATGGTCTGGCATAATTTTATAAACTCTCAGTGGTGATTGTCTACTTATTATGTTAGATCTTCCCATATTACACAGATGGTTATGCCGTTCAGAATCTTAAGATATTTACTTTCCCAGAAAACTTGGGGAATTTGAGAAGTGTTTGTTTTGAAAAGCAAAATATATGTGAGGTGCATGGCTGAAAGAGCATTTGCACTAAGCCTGGACTTAGAGAAAAATTTAATGTGAGACCGAGGGAATGTGCTTTTGCCAGGACCTCCATGAGTGATGTTGTAAGAAGAAAAGCAATGCTACTATTTAAAATATCCAGAGAGGAATGAATCAGGCGAACTGGCAGTGAAAGGACTGTTTGACTGGACCGGAGATCAGTAGATTACAGATGACAAGTAAAGAGAAAAAAGGTTACACTTGTAAGTATTGCTAATAAAATGCTCCCTGCGTCAAAAAATTAGTAATAACATTCTGAGTATACAGTTTTGGAGAGGTCATCACTCTTCAAAGAAAAGGGTTATTAGCTTATTTGAAATTTTACAGTTAGAAAATATGATCACAAAATGGGTTAGCATGAGGGCTTGAATAAACGCCCATTTGAAGAGACTTCTAGTCCAGTGTCTCCTCCCTGTGTTATCACGTTGTACAGGCTATTCAAATATCACTGAAGATGTTAAAGCAAAATTAAGAAACCACAGTACTTTAAGTGGAAATAGGGGCCTGAATTGTTTAATTATTATTTTGTGTCTGTCATATAGAGTAACATGAAAAATTATGCAAGTGTTGAAAGCAAGAGACTGAATATAAGTATGGCAAATTTCTGTTAAACTAATTTGAGTTACTGATTAGGAAGACTTAGCTATTTTCTTCACAACCCTGGTTTCATTTCAGGAATATTTTTTTTTCTCAGATTCAGTTTGCAGTTATAACATTTCATAGTAAACTAGCTGTTTTTTAACAGTATTAACTGAAACAGTTGTGGAATCATTTGAAAGAAAGTCTTCTGTTTTTTAGCATAATCGTGGATAATTAGGGGATGAGGTTACTACATGTAAGAAAAGTACGGTTATAATAACAGCTGACATTTATATAGTGCTTCCTATGTGCCAGGCACTCTTCTGAGTGCCTTACATATATTATGTGATCCTTTTACCAGTCTCTTTGAGGTTAGATTTTAGTATCATCCCCATTTTACAGACGAAATTGAGGGACAGAACCATTAAACAACTTGCCTAAAGTCACACAGCCAGTAAGTGGTTTCAGATTCATGAAACATGGGCCCAGAGTCTGCATTCTAACTCACTGTGCTCTACAGCCACAGTTTCAAATTAATCAGGAAATGAGGATGCCCTCACATGTGATAGCTTAGCCAGTAAGGTAAGTGGAGATAAAGAAGAAAAAAAATCCCCCATGTTGATCCCAAATAAAAAGAAATTTAAGAGCAGTAAGTTTTTTGAACTGTTTGCCCCTTACCCCCCAGCTGGAGTCTAGTAGGTGTAACGGGGCAGTAATGAGTGGCTGCCAGAGCCATTGTCACTGCAAAGAATCCTTCATCAGCAACACTTGACAGCGGTACTGAGAATGACGAGGGAGCACGGAACTGTAACTATCGCCTGCCTCCTTGCGATCTGTTCATAAAATGTTATACTGATAATAACTTTGCATTTGTATATTGTTTCAAATAGTAAAGAATTTAAACTTGGAGTTTCTGTTCTCTGGTGGAATCTCTTCGTGGTACCCTGCCCTAAAACATCACATATCCAGAGTGGTTGGGGAATTGCCCCATCTGATTTTATTTCCTTTCATTGGGAAATCCTTTTTGTTTGAGCCCTTGTTGAAATCATTAGTTGCTGATGAAGAGTCCTCTTGTTTCACCTTCCCCGGCCTCTTTTATTGCAGTCAGTCAGTTCCACGGTTTTCACGTTGCCATGAAACTCAGTTGCAAGCCCAGCGAGGGCAGAGACCCAGCCTTATACATCTTTTCTGTCAGCCTGGCACAGAGGAACACACAGTGCTTGCTCTTTCCTGAACTGATTATACCATCTTTTACTGGTTTTGAAAAATAAGACTATGGCACACCTGGCCTACTCTCCCCGTGGTTATTGAGGATCTTGCCGTGATTCTGGTTTTTGATTACAAATCTTGAGTTAGGATTGTACAGGCTTGTCAATCTACCGGGTTTAAGATACTGAGCTTCCTTGAAGACAGGAATTATCGGATCCAAATAACCGTATTTGTATCCAAAATACCTCGCACAGCATGTGGGAGCCCTCTGTAAATGTTTTAAGTAAACGCACGAGTGAATTGATGCTGCTCTACTGCGTAACCTGAGATGTTGATTTTTTTGTTTAAATCTTTTGTTGGAAATTTGCTTTCTAATGTTAATCTTGATTTTCCTTTAAAACCGAGGGTGTTTAATGGGGCCTCCCACCTGGAGTTTTTTTAAATCAAAGCTTAACCATGTATTGTTTTCATTTCTTTAATCATTGATTTTTTTTTCTTTTTTTTTGGCTGAGTTGGGTCTTTGTTGCTGTGCATGGGCTTTCTCTAGTTGCGGCGAGCGGGGGCTTCCCTTGTTGCGGAGCACGGGCTCTAGGCACACGGGCTTCAGTAGTTGTGGCACATGGGCTCAGTAGTTGTGGCTCACGGGCTCTAGAGCGCAGGCTCAGTAGTTGTGGTGCACGGGCTTAGTTGCTCTGCGGCATGTGGGATCTTCCTGCACCAGGGCTCAAACCCATGTTCCCTGCATTGGCAGGCAGATTCTTAACCACTGCGCCACCAGGGAAGTTCCTAATCATTGATTTTTAACCATCCTATTTATTATTACTCTGAAAATATTGGGATATAAATTATTTGAATCCTTTTCAATGTTCAGTAACACATTTAGCACATTTTAATAAAAAGTCTCAATAATCTCTCTGTGGCATTTTTCACATGCTTATTTCATGCCACAAAGTGTTTAGAGGACATACAGAATAGAAAATAAATAACAGTACTTTTTAACTCTGGAAGATGAGCAGGAGTACCCAACCAAGAAACTCTTTCTGCTTCCTTTACACATCACTTGACTGCATATTTACTTCTAGTGTTTCCTGTATCCTCTTTTACCACTACAGTTATGTAGATCATTTTGTATATTGTAATTTACAAGAGATTAAAATCTGGAATTTTGAAATTAGCTCAGAAATGTTGAAGATGTTTTTCTCCCACCCCCAGGGAAAAGGCTAGCATGGTTGTCCCTGAAGAAAGAGAAGGCAGAGACGAAACGAACCTCGACCTCGTAAGAGGCTGTGTATCTGCAGGTGCTCCCACCGACACACGCAAAGCTGGTGAGCCTGCCCTTTGCCGAACACTCCTGCTGCCTGTGCAGGAGGCTGTGAGGTTCCAGAGTTTCTCTGCAGAAGCTTAATTTTTCTCAATAAGCTCTTAAACGTGGCTGTCTGCTCCCATACCCTGGTCTCAGCTGGCTGTTTACTAGCCACATGTCCTTCCTGGATCTCGGGCTCCTCACCTGTAAGATAAGTGGGGTTGTGATCTACGCAGCGGCATTGGAAATCAGTTACACTCCAGCATTCATTGAGATTCAGAATGTACTTTTGCCAAGAAACTTTTGTAAATGGTGATTAGGTTCTTACCTTTACCTGAAGAGGCCAGTTTGCCCATAGATAAAGAGTCAGGATTGTTTGGGGTGCGTTCCCACTTCCATATCTGTGTTTGTTGGTTGCTTCTTGGCGCTTTTCCAGATCCCAGGTGTGTGGTACTCTCACTGCCATGCAGCGTCCCAGCAGTGGCTTCCACCAAGACCTGCTGGATGCCACGTCCACCGTGGTACAGGGTTAGCCATGTCCCACGCCCCAGGCCCCATTTTCCCGTGTCAGCAGCTGCTTTCAGCCAAGAGACGTGGGAAAAACAATACAGTTGAGCCCTTTTCTCCTTTGGTGGGGTCCAGCGCAGTTAAAGCAGTGGGTTTCAGAATTTAGCGTACTTAAGAATAACCTCTGATGCTTGATAAAACTGTAGATTCACGGACCCCAGTCCATAGAAATTCCAAGTCAATAGATCTGAAATGGGGTCAGCGTCTGATGGACGTGGTCCTTGGACCATAGTGGGAAACACTGCCTCAGAGTATCTTTTGAAGAAGAGTCTTATTAACTCAAATAGGTTGTGGACATGTCATGCAGAACAGCAGGATGTCAGGCAATATGAATGAGGTAGTTTGGAGCAAGTAGGTACCACACAGAAAGCTGCTCACAGAAATCTGCCCTTTAGACTTCAGTCCTCTAAGCGCTTGTGTTAGCTTTCCTTTGCTGCTGTAACAAATTGCCACAAACTTAGTGTCTGGAAACAACACACATTTATTATCTAACAATTATTATCTTACAATCCAAAGTCCAAATGGGTTTCACTGAGCTCAAAGGAAGGTGTGTGCAGGGCTGCGATCCCCCTGGAGGCTGCAGGGGAGAATCCCTTCCTCTTCCAGGTTATCCAGGCCGCCTGCATCCCTTGGCCCATGGCTCCTTCCTCCCACTCCAAGGTCAGCAGCTCCAACTCTGAGCTTCCTGCTTCCCTCTTTCATTATAAAGACCCTTGGGCCTACCTGGATAATACAGAATAATCTCCCAATCTTGAGAGCCTTAACTTAATCACATTTCCAAAGTCACCTTTGCCATGTAAAGTAACATATTTACAGGTTTCAGGGATTAGGACATGGACATCATCAGGGGGCCACCATTCTGCCTACAACAGCACTTTTGAGTCCTTCAACCAGCAGTGTTGGCATCACGTGGGAGCCTGTTAGAAATGCAGGGTCTTTGACCCTATTCCAGACCTACAGAAACAGTAGGTACTTTAACTCCATCCCAGGTGATTCATATGCACGTTAGTGGGAGAAGCTCTGTGCTCTTGTTTTTCCCAGCTTCTCCCATTTTCCCGTCCCTGGACTCGTTGATACAAGCACTAAAAGCTCCAAATTTTTTCACAGCAGTCCACAAGGCAGTTTATGCAGAGAACATTTCTAAGCATCTACTATGTCCTAGGAATTGGGATGACGATGATCAGTAAAATGTGGTCAATGCAACAGTGAGGGACCATAAAGCAGGGGTCCCCAACCCCTGGGCCACGGACCAGTACTGGTCTGCAGCCTGTTAGGAACCGGGCCTCACAGCAGGAGGCGAGCAGCGGGTGAGTGAAGCTTCCTCTGCCGCTCCCCATGGCTCCCCGTGGCTCGCATCACCGCCTGAGCCAGCCCCCCCACACACACACACCCCAACCCCGTCCGTGGAAAAACTGTCTTCCACGAAACCAGTCCCTGGTGCCAGAAAGGTTGGGCACCGCTGCCATAGAGGAACCACAGAGGGAAGATGATGGCAAATGCTGGTATTTGTGAATTCTAAGTAAGGAAGTACCAAGAGACCCCAACTTCCTCCCAGCTCTATTTAGTTTAAGGAAAATAGCCTTAAACTGTAAATAAACCTTTTTATAATACGGAGAAGTGTGGAATAACATGTCATACTGTGTAACCAGGCATCGGAGATTAACAGCAGAAACATAGATCTTTAACTTTAAGCTCTGCCATCTCTGAGAGTTATTCCTCAGTGGCGTTACTTAAAGTGCTTCTTTTTCTTCATAGGCGGCCAGGAACAGAATGGTACCCAGCAAAGTATCGTTGTGGACATGCGCGAGTTTCGAAGTGAACTCCCATCTCTGATCCACCGTCGGGGCATTGACATTGAGCCAGTGACCTTAGAGGTCGGAGACTACGTTCTGACTCCAGAAATGTGCGTGGAGCGCAAGAGCGTCAGTGATTTGATCGGCTCTTTGAACAATGGCCGCCTCTACAGCCAGTGTATCTCCATGTCCCGCTACTACAAGCGGCCGGTGCTTCTGATCGAGTTCGACCCCACTAAGCCTTTCTCTCTCATGTCCCGAGGTGCCTTCCATCAGGAGATCTCCGGCAACGACATCAGCTCCAAGCTCACGCTCCTCACGCTGCACTTCCCCAGGCTCCGGATCCTCTGGTGCCCCTCCCCGCACGCCACCGCGGAGCTGTTTGAGGGGCTGAAGCAGAACAAGCCACAGCCGGACGCGGCGACGGCCATGGCCGTGACAGCCGATTCCGAGACCCTCCCTGAGGCAGAGAAGTATAATCCCGGTCCCCAGGACTTCTTGTTAAAAATGCCAGGGGTAAATGCCAAAAACTGTCGCTCCCTGATGACCAACATTAAGAACATCGCCGAGTTAGCAAGCCTGTCCCTCGACAAGCTGGTGCTGCTGCTGGGGAACGCGGCAAATGCCAGGCAGCTCTATGACTTCATTCACACCTCCTACGCGGAGGTCATCTCCAAAGGGAAAATGGAAAAATGAACGGTGGTGCCTGTTTTCTTATCCCGTGACTATGCTTCTCAGCTGCTTCTTGCCCGCCCTCACAGATCTTTATTAATTATTAGCCCAGTAGCTCATTCTCTGCCAGTCTTTGAATGATTAGGCTGTTTCCTGGGTCAGGGGACCAGCGGCCAAGGCTGGGCTCTGAACTTTGTGTTCAGGAATCATTTTTACTTCCCACGCCTGCTTTCCTCCTTCCCTGCACCATCCACACCAGGTCTAGTACGTTCCATTTTTACATGAGGTGTCAGGATCAGGGAACGTGTCTGCAGGTGTTTATAGAAGGCCATTTCTGAAACATGCAGAAACTTAGGTTTCCTCCACAGACTGAAAACGCACCATCGTGTTCTTACCCTCTGTCTACAGAGGGGCTCCCAGGACACTGAGAAGGGAACATCTCTGCCATTGCCAACCTGTTCTCCCCTCCAGGTTTCCCTCAGCTGCGTGCTTCTCCCACCTGTCTGCCTCTGGGATAAATTCATGGGGACTTCCTACTGCTAATTTAAGAAAGGCAGCCACCTCTAAAACCGGCCAGTCGGTCTTCTGATCACCTGAAGATATGTAGCACGTACTATAACTGGATTGTTCAAAACCAGTATTTTTAAAACAAAATGAATTACCGATTTACAGAATTGGATGGCGTGGGTGAAGGAGCCCTGAAAATGCTCCGTTTTTATAGCTGTTTATCCTCCTAAGTCCCAGCAGAGTCTCTTAGACTTCCTCCTTCCCAGCCTCTCCTCACCTGTCCTGGGACCCCCAGCTCGGGTCCTCTCCCGGGTCTCCGCCCCCCACATCCCTGTGCCAGAGCAGCCTCCTGCTTCTCTGTGTGGGGACTGGCACACAAGCAAAGGAGGGACCCACAGCTTTTAAGATTTGATTTTCCTTCCTTGAGTTGAGTCAGAAGGGTTGTAAGGAGATGGAAGATCAATGCATAGAATATATAAAAATCCTAAAGAAATATGTATATATTTGAAAATCCATAAAGAAAACAGTCTCATTCCAGACCTCCTTCTGGTCCTTACTGAAGTGTACGTACAGGACGTTCACAGCATCTTTGTGCAGTTTTTAAACTTTTATATTGAAACATTATTAACTTAGGTATTATTCACATATTTAGTGATGAGTAGTAAGTTTTTACCTCAAGAGCTGCTGTAGACATCAGTTCTGCTGGCCGCATCACATAGGGTCACATTTTGTCGGCCGTGTTTTTATTTGTTACACTGTTGGAACTCGGAGTCGACAGTGGACCGTGTAACGCAAAATGGTCTTCAACTTTAACAGAAGTCTTTCAACTGTCATCTCCAAACCGAACCTTTCATCTTGATTTCTTGGTATGTCGACATATGTTGAAGTGTATGGATTTTGAACTGTATACAAGGATACCACAAGAATGAATTAAGGGGTATCAAGGAACCATATTTGTTGTCGTCTAACTCTGTAGAGTGACTTGGAGTGGAGAGAAGAAGACAAGAAACAAAAATTAGTTTAAGGCAGAATAAAGATTTGGGTTACTAATTTTGTCCCAGGGTTAAAAATATACCCTTGAGAATAGGAAAACAAAAATGTCAGGCACATGTGTTAACTTTCACTTTTGTATGCATTTCTTTATCTAAGCATTCAGTCATAGTTGGAAGTACATTAAAACAGATACCACCTCAAATAGTAATGGTTATTATAATTTTGCTTCACTCTATCCTAGCACTTCTGCTTGAGAGATGTAATTTCTGGTTTTTTCTCCTGGTATAATTCCACCTGCCTTTTATTGTTCTTTCATTACGTAAAAGGAAAATCCTAACAGAGCACATTCTTTGGTAAGGGTTTCACTCCAAGTTAAGTTTTCAAAAATAAGCTCTCAAAGCTACCATTTTAAACAGTCCTTGTTATCTGCTACAACATAGAAAACAGTCTTAGTTGTATTTAGAGAGCCAGTGTCTTCTGGCTCCCAAATTCTGTTATTTGCTGTTGTACCTACTAGACATTTTAATGACATCTTAGTGCACCAGCTCGTGTGTTTGAATTATGAACGATAGTGTCTAATGAACTCTAAAATGGTCATTATAGTTGAAAGGCTCTCACTGCCACTTCCTCTCCCAACTAAATAAATATATTTTAGTGTCTCCAGTTGTGGAAAGCCTTCAATACAACCATCATGTATTTACTTTTGCCAAATTCTTTTAAAATTTGTACAATCTAAGAATCTTTGGCAAAGAACTAGAAATGCATGCAGTTGCAAAAAACTATATCACTTTATTTTCTAGCATCATTTTATTAACTTTGCCTTTTTCTTTCAAAATCACAAACATCCAGTTTACTTATGAACTCATGCTTAGCTTTTTAAAAACCTTTTTTAAAAACTTGAGACCAACATTATTCTAGGTTAAAAGTTTTTTGCATAAAACTTTGAGCATATGAAATATTGTGAGAAGTCATTTTCAGTGTTAACTCACAGTGTCTCTCTTGATACTTTCTTAAAGTTATATAAGAAGAAATCATTTTTAATAGTGGCTGTAAATAATATCCTTTTGGCAGTAGTTACTGTTTCTTTAATCTGAGGCTTAGTGTGTCTTTATGTCTACGTATGTTTGGGCACGTCCAGAATGCAGTTTCCCAGCTCATGAGGGACTGAAAATAATTGTCTCATTTATCAACCCACTGAGACACAGAGAGTTAAGTCTAGATTCAGTTGTGTTGAGATAACAGAATATAGAGTTAATAAATGGCCTCCAGCAGGAAAACCTACACTGAAGCGAATCTGGAGAGGTGGGTGAGGGGAGAAAGACAGGAATTATTAGTCTTTGCTTTCGTTTTTCAAGCATAATTTGATTTTCTTTTGGCTCAGAAAACTTCTTTAGGGAAATTCCCTTTTCTTTTGTGTTCAGTTTAACCTACAAATGGCCCCTTAAGAACCAACATTTTAGGAAAAATTCTTTTCTCAGGCTTGGGCATATTAAAATTTACCCAGACTTTGACATGAGTTGTCACTTCTCTTCATTATTTTGCTTTCTATTTTGGTTTATAGCTATTTCCTGTCTGATTCTGGACTTCAGTGCTTAAGTTACCATCTTTATCCATGGGTATTTGGTGGCCTACAACACTGTTGTTTTTTTGATGTAAGGGTATATAAGCCAAACTTTGTATGGGAGCGAGACCTAACCATTTACATCAATTTGTAACAGAGTTGTTTGTGTGTGTTTTAATAACGTGTATTTATTCAGTATTCTCAGCATTCTGTGGGCAAAATAAAAATAACCATGTATAGTGAAAGGGAATATATTCCCAGTACATTATAGTTACTAGTGTGTTAGTAAATGTAATTTAAAATTCAGAGAATATTTAATTGGTTTTTTTTACGCAGAGTAAACGATTAAAGCTGAAATGCACTTTGAACCACTGCTTTGGCATTTGACTTGCTTGGTAAACCCAGTTCCTAAAGCATCAAGAGTATTTTTCTTTTGGTTATTTTCCTTTACTGTTTTTCATTTCGAAGCATGTGTCCTTAAGGAGGGGGGAAAACCATTCTCCTTCTGAAAATACTCATTTGTTGACAATGTAATGAATATGTGGGGTAAGTATAATGCCTGGGACACCTTAACTCAACAAAGATTAATTTCCTGCCACCCCTGACTCATAGATTTTTGTTCCTTTAACATTCCTTTTAAAGTTAAAAGAAGTAAATTACTCTTTTAACACATTGCGAATTTGTTGTAGCCTCTTAAACAAGTTAATCATTAGTTTACTAATTGACTTATTTCGATGATTTAAGTATTTTGCTTCTGCCTTGAAATGTAGAAATGAAACCCTCTTTAACGTAAGGTGTCAGACAGTTTATTTCTCAAAATGTTTCAATGTCCGAATACTCTGGTAGAATGATGAACCCTTACTCAGTAGTAATATAACTCACATTTATTAGCATTTGTGCTTTATCTCATTTAATCCTCATGGTAAAGCCATAAAGGTACTATTACTTAAAATCCTCTTTTACAATGATGAAACTGAGGCACAGAGAGGTTAAGTAATTTTTCCAAGGTCACCCAGTAGTAAATGGTGGAACCATGACTGGAACTCAAGCAGTTTGACTCCACAGCCCATGATGAAAAACTGGGGGCAGAGGAGGGCCGGTGGAGAGTGGGAGACTGTGCTTTGTGTGCCGTTTCATAAATCTAATGACAAATACAGAAAAAGCAGATTGGTTTGTTTCCATGCCAGAGAAAAATGTCAAGAGCAGGTATGCAAAACTTGGAAAGAGGTCCAAGAAAGTACTGAGTACCCTTACTCTGTAGACCTGGATGTTGCCTAGTGACCTCTGCTGCCCAAGGATTATCTGATTTTCTAGGGCTGGGAACCTTTTGCTGACTGACTAGGAAGGCTATTTTGCAAGCTTATAAGAATAGGGGTTAATTTGCAGAAAACTGATAGCATTACAAATGATTCTTGTACAGTAACACCACAAAGAATATTGCCTAGTGGGACATTAACCAGTTTTGCATTTGTTAGCAAATTTATTCTGAATTCCTTTGACCAACTACAAAATCTCCAGGTCCTTGAATTTTCTCTTGAATCAGTCTTGACATCTTACTGGTTTCCTCATTAATTGAATTGAAAAAAATCTTTGACTTCTGTTATTTTTCTATTTGTGTGAGAGTCATGTTTTTAACCTTTTGAAAATTGTACTTTGCAAATGGTGTTGCCAACATGAGCTCCCATGTAATGATGAATCCATATTTCCAGCCTCATTCATCCTAAAATGAAACCTTGTAAATTAGAAGGTGGATTTTATTACATATATATATATATACATATATATATTTAAGAACTGTACTTTGGAACTAAGACATTAATATTAAAAACTATAAGTTGATTAAATATTTAAGAACTATAGACACATTTTAAGATGCTGGTTCAGTGGCCCTGTCTTTCTCATTCCGTTTACAAAAGCTCAATGGAATCTTTAATCTGAATTCTTTTTCTGTGTTGTACTTATTGAGACTTGATTCATGAATGAGAAAAAAGAGAAGTTTCAGATATTCCCAAGGATCCGTTTGCATGAAGCAGGTATTCCTACACGGAGAGAACAGTGCTCCCTGAGGGCCTGGGAGACAGGTAAACAAAATCAACTTGTGATTTCAAACAAGGGAATTTCCTGGGGTTCATGAA